GACCATTCTGTGTTCACCTCTCACCGACTTCAGGCCACCCGCTGCTCATCCTTTCTAAATCTCCAGTGTCCCATCTAGAAGCAGAGAGTACTAAACCACCCACCACAGTGGCGGGGTTGCTGAGAGAACTAAATGAGATAAGCCAGGCCTGGTGGTCCAGGCCTGGAATCCCAGCCTCTCAGGAGGTGGCAGCAGGGCCTCTTAGTAAGCTTGCCTGGGCTACAGAGTGAGTTTGAGGTTAGTACTCTTCTGTCTCAGAAATCAAAGTAAAAGGAGGATGGGGAGACAGCTCCTGGGTCCCCAGTACTACAAAAAGTTAAATGGGATAAAACCTGAAGCATGGCTGGGTCCGGGTTTGCACATGACTTGTAGCTCTACTGAGGATGTGGAAACAAACGAGGTATAGCTCAGAGAACACTTGGGCTGATTAGCCATCACCAAGCTCTCAGTTACAGAAAGAGAACGCCCACGAGTCCCCGCTCCAAGAGGAGATTTGGCCTACAGCACACAGACCTGAAGCTCTAGGGACCACATGTGGCTGTGTGTTTCTAAGTCTACTGCTATTTCTGGTGGGGGTGCCCCTGAAGAAGAGGTGTGGTGGAAAGGGGAGCTGGAGAAATGCAGGGTGTGGCGGTACTGACGGAGAGGGCACATCCCTGTAAGCAGGCAATGAGACTCACCATGAAGCCTTGGTCAGAGGCTCTTCCCCCAGGGGCCTTGGGTCTGCCCCACCTTTCATGGAGGGTGTGTGAACCACTTCTCAGGTACACTGTTTTCCCAGGAATGAAGACATTTAAAGACACAGGCTTACAGGAAAAAAAAAATCCAGTGTCTTCCTCAAACCCAGCACTCTCCAGGTGGCCTCCCAGTCCTTCCCCCAATGGGTCTGCCTTCTATTCCTCACTCCAGTACTGAAAGGACATCTTGTCTACCACAAGGCTACCCGACACACTCTCTCCTTCATCCAGCTTTACTAACCTTTGTAACACGCGTTGCTGATGTCACTTGACCGTTCCTTGTTTATAATATTGTCTTTGACCACTTGTCAGCTGCTGTAGGAGAGATCTTTATCTCCCCTCCCTGCTGACAATCATCCCCAAAATGATTTCTAATTGAGAGAATACACTCACTAAATAGAGGCTGATTGAAAAGAAAAAAAAAATGAATGAATAAAGGAAGACATTTACAAACTCAATGTGTGTTCTTTTTTTTATTTTTTGGTTTTTCGAGACAAGGTTTCTCTGTGACAGGGTTTCTCTGTGTAGCTTTGGTGCCTTTCCTGGATCTCCCTCTGTAGACCAGGCTGGCCTCGAACTCACAAAGATCCACCTGCCTCTGCCTCCCAAGTGCTGTGATTAAAGATGTGTGCCACCACCGCCCGGCCTCAAGGTGTGTTCTAGTGAGCTCTAAAAATTTTCTTTTTAGATTTAGTTATTTTATGTGTATGAGTGTTTTGCCTGTATGAATGTACACCATGTGCCTGCCTGATGTCAGAAGTCAGAAGAGGACATTAGATCTCCTGGAACTGGAGTTATAGACAGTTGTGAGCAACCGTGTGGGTGCTGGGAATTGAACCCAAGTCCTCTGCAAGAGCAACAAGTGCTTTTAAGCTCTGAGCCAACTCCAACCAACTGGGTTTTAATTGTCAACTTGACATAGCCTAGAGTCACCTGAGAAAGGAGTCTTAATTGAGGGATTGCCTAGACCATGGCCTGAGAGCATGCCTGTGGGGGTTGACTTGTTCATTGGTGTTAGAGATCCCAGCCCACTATGGGTGCCATCATTCCCTGGGCCTGTGCTCCTGGGCTGTGTAAGGAAGCTAGCTGAGCACGAAGCTGAACAAGCCAGCAAACAGCATTCCTCAGGATTTCTGCTTCAAATTCCTGCTTGAGTTCCTGCCCTCACTTCCGTCAATGATAGACTGTGATCTGTAAGAGTAAGACAAATAAACCCTGCTTTGGGTCAAAGTGTTTAATCACAGCCACAGAACAAAACTAGGACAGTACGTCAGAAGTAAATGGTTTATTTTGAAACATTGTTATTACTTAACTGTATGTTTGGAGGAAAGCTTATGGGGATCACTTCATTAAAATAACTCTTCTTTGCTCTATTCATAATAACCCAAGCTCAGAAACTACTCAGGTGTTCATCAATAGGAATATGGTCAAGTTGTTGTGTGTCTATATATAATTTACAGACACTCAGCAACAGAAAGGGATGAACTATAAAACCTGAGTAGACTCCAAACACAGCATGCTGAGAGAGGGGTCCAGAGACCAGTGCACAATTCCTATTTCCATTCATCACATGGCATTCGAGAGCAGCCAAAGCTAATCTAGGATTTTTTTTTTTTTTAAAGAAAAGCAATATTTGCATGTACCTATAAGAAAGATGAAAACTTCCAATTTCAGGAAGCTGGAGCAGATAATCATGTCCCTTCCTCCTGCTGAGCATCGCTAGGAAATCTGGATATTATTATGCAGGGAAAATACAAAAGGCTCTGGAAGGAAGAGAGAAGACAGACAGACTAGCAACCTCCGGACCAGAGGAACACAGTGGCAGAGAGTTCTCTCTGTTCATTTGTCGCATATGGCATAGACGTAGAGCTGAAGAATGTGAGTACCAGCAGACTGCCAGCCCAAACCTACTCGCTCTAAGACCCTAGGAAGGGGTGGCCTAGAAGACAGAGTCTTAGGCAATCGTGTTCCACTCCAGGCTCCACTCCAGAAACACACCCCACAAGCCCAGCCCACGGTAAAGGCTAAGCGGGGGAGCCAGCTTTCCGCCGTCACCAGGGGAACTTCTCTGCTCACCCACCCCTCTCCAGGTTGGTATTGAAGAAGACTGAATGGAGGGCTGAGACCTTTCATCCATGTCCAAGGGTAACAGGTTTCCCTGGTGTCAGGTGGACAGCATCAGGAGCCTAGACTTCTACCCACCAGGAATAAGGAGACCACCCCTTCAGATGCCAGCAGAAGCTGGTATAGAACCTGGGCTTCCACCTACCTGCCTCTAATGAGCTGGTCCCCACTTCCCTGCCTCCCCTACGTGAGCTCTGTGTGCCACCACGCTCAGCTCCATGTGACAAAAAATTTTAAAACGTCCATCATAAGTGAATGGAGCCCCGAGGACCAGTGGGGACAGAACCAAAGCCTGCCTCTTAGGGCACTGAGAGGGTTCTGAAAGAAGGAGGAAGGGCCAGAGTAAAAATACGCAATGAAATAATGTCTCAAATGTCCCCAAATTTAATAAAAGACATTAGTTTATGGATCCGGAAATCTAGGCAACCAACTCATTTACAATAATATCAAAAAATATAAAATATGGGCCAGTGAGACGGCCCAGTGAGTAAAGGCACTTACTGCCAAGCCTGACCATCTGAGTTCCATTTCTGGGGCCCAGCCCACAGTGGAGAACCAACCAGCCAACCACACATACACACACACACACACACACACACACACACACACACACACACTGAATGTAACTTTTAAAAATAGAAAGAAGGAGAAATATTTAGGGCAAATGTGACA